TTTTGGATGGAGCCAGGCCCGTGCTGAGCTGTAACATCGCTCAGCTGAAACACCTGCTCCGGGGGATAACCGTGCCCCAGGGATTTGCGGCTGCCGGCGGCTCCGTGGTCAGCAAAGACACCAAAATCCTGTCTTGGTTTTACATAACGAAGCTTTTCTCAAGCTCCTTCTGGAAACGTGGTTGTTGCTTGCTTTAGGTTTTGCTTTAAACGTGTGTAAGTTACATTTGAGCCCCTAAAGAATGCCGGGAGCCTCATTTAAATATCACGGGCAGCTTCTAGCTCAAGAGGAAGCAAACCAGGAGTTCCTGTTCACGGCAAGACGCCGACTGTGACAAGGGGGCTGTCGTGGTGTCGAGGCAACCGCTTTACCAAAGAGACCGATCGCTTCGACTCCCTCAAAGAAAGCACAACTGACATTGTGCTCGAGCCTAAAGAATTCCTCTGGCACTGGTGCCAAAAGAGCTGCCTGCAAAACACCGGCTGTTAGAAACTCCACCGATAGGAGCAGCTCAGCAAAAAGCGTTCCAGCGGAGAAAAGTTACCCTCGTAACAGAAAAGGCCACGGGGCAGTCGCCTCCACCGTGATTTCTGTCAGAAAACCCTCAGAACCTCCACTTCCGTCGCACGACAGTTTTCAGCACAAACATCAGAACACGTGAGGGCCTGGGGGTGGATTTGAAGCACCCAGACCCCAGAGCTGAAACCCAACCTTGACGAGGAGCAGCTGACACCGGAGGTAGGTTGCCGTGAAATCCGCCATCCCCGCCAGCTCCGACTGCAGCTCTCCGAGTCGCTGAAGATCACTGGAAAAAAAAAATAAAATTAAAATACAGAAACACGATGCTGACACAGCCAGCAGGGTAATCTAAACGCACTTGGAACACAGCGACGATGAAGCCAACTAGTCCCACATCTTGCTTTTTGTTATTGTCCTTAGAATGAGGCCCAGAAGCAGCAGCGAAACACACGCTATCAAACCGTTTGCACCTTGGGACTCGGCATCTCTTCCTCCCTGGAGGCTGCCGCGGGCCCGGTGGTGGGAGCAGTGAGCCCGGCAGCCCAACAGGACCAGCCGGCGTAGGCGCGCCAGATGTAACTTCTTTAACACTTTAAGAAAATA